CCCATTCCTTAATATATATATATATATATATATATATATATATATATATATATATATATATATATATATATATATATTAATAATTATACTCAGTTTGTGTAAAAAAAAATCATTATACTGAAAAAATAGGTATCGTGGAAAGAATTTTGACAAAAAGCCTAAACACATCCCAGTAGATTGAGATAGATCATCAACTTGCCTAATTTCAAGTTTAAAGAAAACAAAATTGACTAAATTGATATATATATATATATATATATATATATATATATATATATATATATATGTGTGTGTGTGTATATATATATACACATATATATATATATATATATATATATATATATATATATAAATATATATATATACATATATATATATATATATATATATATATATATATATATATATATATATATATATATAAATATATATATATAAATATAAATATATATATATATAAATATATATATATATATATATATATATATATATATATATATATATAGAGAGAGAGAGAGAGAGAGAGAGATAGAGGAAACGATATATTACATAAAATATATATTCTATTCTTTTTCAATTAAATTCTTTAACATTTTCATTTTTTTCACTTTACCTAACATAATACTATCTCAACATTCCTCCATATATATATTTCTCACATACGCGTTATTTCTTTTCGATTTTGTCGACTATACTGTATACTAGGCTTAGTTGACGCCGCGTTTCTCTATTTTACTTCATCAACTCTAGTGCTGATTAACAATAACGAATGTTGCATAGTTTCACGAAATTTTATAAAAGGCTTATCTATATATTTCGCCACCATATAAAGTCACTTAACAATCAGAAAACGGCCTTTAGTTTACCACAATCTACAAGAACTAATAAGCGATATTCTGTTTGATAATCCGAACATATTTCCTAAGTGCGCGCACATATTTTAAAACATATGACACCCCGTAGTGATGTTATGTTATTTAAGAACAGAAATAATGTGTTTGATTGTTGTTGAAACTTGACTAATGCATGGAATAATAATGCAACACAAAATGTACTTAGAACAAAATGTATTGAAATAAGAAAGTGTACACAATATTTACATATAGTCTTTTGTATATTCCTGGTAAGACCGTTCCTGGAGAATGTGTTGACTGAGTCGCAGTCGGGCAGAGTCTCTGGGTGAATCTCTTGATTCCTCCCTGGCTTCCCGTTACCAACCATATTTATATGTTCGGTACTCCACTATGCAAATTAGGTAGATCCTACCACAACACCCCCTCCCAAGCCTTGGAATCCCTTTTGGATTTCAAACTGGCTTCCTATATGGGTTGATGATTATGGCTATTTCTTTGTAGATCCATTTGCATACTTTATATGCATATGTCCATCCGCTTAATTTTAATATTTTTTCTGTTTTGGATTCACGTCCAATGGGTCCGTGAACTTTCGTTTCCTACCGGATCTTCTCGTTTCAGGAGTATTCTGCGGAGGTTCTAATTGAAACATATCATACATTACCTCAATGGGATCTTCCTCCTCATCCGGTATACTCTCTTCATGATCTATAACGTAACGTTTTTTAAGTTGATTCTGTTGGCTTTTATGAGTATTCTTCGGCCCTTTAATTATGTAAATCAGGTCACCGATTCTCTTGTCCACTATGCCTCGCTCCCAGAACTCAACGTTGTTTTTGTAGCACTTGAAAAACACCTTCTCTCCGGAGGTGTATCTTTTTCTCGCTGTATACATAGTATTCGTTACTCTACTTTTTCCTGGCAAAAGTGTGTCAAACACTGACTTAACTTTCCTAGCGAACATTAGTTCAGGTGGTGCCATGTTTGAGTGTGTTCTCTGGTTTGGCGTGATTCTGTATACTTGTAGGATTTGCTGAAGCGCCTTTTCCGTTGGAACTCCTGAAGCTTACTTCAGAGCGAAATGGAGGGTTACAGATTAAGATGTAAGATGTATAGTTTAGTGAGACGTTTGGGTATTAATAGTTACCCCTAGATTTTGATACGTTAATGTTTTAGTAATCCGGGAAATATCTTCTTGGTAGTCGGTTCCCCGAAGTAGCGTTTCCTGAGAATCTGTTCTAATGGAACTGACACCTCTCCAATTAAAAAGCAACTTTCTCACTGTTTTCCATAAAAATAGTGATAGAGTAGCGAGAAAATTGCGACATTACTTCTTTTGGAAAGGAGGATTAGCGTGTAAATAATTAATCAACCAAAATGCCGAGGAGACGATTATGGACGCTCTTAAGAATGAAAATGAGAACAGGAAAGTTTCTGTCCATATATTTTAGCAGTAAACCCTTTCCTGTGTTACAAAGATAAATGATAGCAGAAGATATGTACTTACTAGATATGTATTGGGAACCGGTTATTTTTCATACATCTTTAACGATGGATCGTATATATGAATTCCAATTGAGGTCTAAATCAGGGACGACGTTAAGCCCCAACATACGTTAAAGTCGTGGAGTAACCATTAGAGAAAATCTTTTCATCGTGAGATCAGTATCCGCAATGTAGGTATGTGGAGAAATCAAATTCCAGTCTCTGGTCATGTAGACATTGAAACGTGCAGCCATATACTGTTATATCCAAAGCATTATTTCAATAAAAATCAGTTTAATGTGGAAAGTGAAAAATAACGTATCTGATTCTCTAAGTATTATCAGAAAAATATTTTATATAATATTATCAGAAAAACGTATTATTTAAATATTATCAGAAAAAAAATATTATCTGTTTTTCTGTGAGTTAAACATTAAAAAAAATAAAACATGAGACAATGCAATGTAATAACACATCGTGTTTAGAAACAAGAGATCAGTGTCCGCAACGTAGGTCTGGGGAGAGATCAAATTCGAGTTTCTGGTCATCTAGACATTTGAACGTGCATCCATATACCATTATATCAATAGCATCATTTCAATAAAAATCATTTTAATGTGGAAAGTGAAAAAAATCGTATCAGAATCTCTTAATATTATCAGAAAAATATATTATCTATTATTATCAGAGAAATATATTATCTAAATATTTTCATAGAAAACATATTATCTGCTTTCTGTGAGTTAAACATTAAAAAAAAATGAGAGAAAGCAATATAAATGCACATGCTTCTCAATATTTTTCGTGAGCTTGAAGATTTAAAACTGTTATCATCTCGTCCTTTGGTCATTAGCCTTAAAGCATTCGAGCATAGAATGGAACGTTTTCTCCGGGAAATTGCGTCACCATAAAACCGTGTTTATAAAAGCACTCATCCCACGAGAAATCAAAATATTGCTTGATTAATTACTTTTGCGGCGTTGATTGTTTCTTCTCTGGAAAACAAATTAATGATGCATGATAAAAATAAATATAAATGGGCTCATGGAGATGTTGAACAAAAGCAAGACCTGCTATTCCAAGGAGAAATGAATAGGCGATTGTAAATAGTACAAAATTCTGCAAAGAAAATAATGTCAAATAATGATTTCAGTGAGATATTAACAGCTTCATATCACTCAAGACTAAAGGAAAACTATAGATATGCGTATTATCATACGCTTAGAAATACACTCTCTCTCTCTATCTCTCTCTCTATATATATATATATATATATATATAGATATATCTATATATATATATATATATATATATATATATATATATATATATATATATATATATATATATATATATATATATATATATATATATATATATATATATATATATATATATATATATGTGTGTGTGTGTGTGTGTGTGTGTGTGTGTGTGTGTGCGTTTGAAGAGGACAAAGCTATTATTGGCCGGTGTTTCGTTTCAGAGGGATTAGCAAATTTATTTGGTGACCCACGTCTATACATAAGAGTAAGTATGCCATTGGTTTAACAATGCCTTTAAATTTGAGAGCATTCATGAATATTCATCAGCTATACGAAAGGTCGTTGAAAACATGCGGATGACACAAAATGACGTAATTCAAAATTTCAGCAAACACGCACACGTACACACACATGAATGAATCTTGTTTAAATAATATATATATATATATATTTATATTTTATATATATATATATATATATATATATATATATATATATATATATATATTGTTTACATTGTGATCAGATTATTATGGTTTGCCATGGACGTATATTCTGTAGATCTCCCGAAATGTGGGGTAACGGAATTAAACCGTTTTCTATTATTGATTTCTTCTCTCTCTCTCTCTCTCACACACACACACACACACACACACACACACACACACACACACACACACACACACACACACACATATATATATATATATATATATATATATATATATATTATTTAAGACTAGGTAATTTCTGCATTTAAGCATTTTATTCAATTGTTCTTTTGTTTTCTCTATGACCGCGCTCATACGCATATCTCTGTTAGAGAATACTAGTAAAGCTTTATCATATAATATATAACGTTTTGGTATAATATAAAATAATATTTTATTTTATAGTTTTGCATAACATGCATATGAGATACAGTAGAATATTTCGACAGCTTTTACATACTGAACTTGGATTTCGAACTCAACACTTTATTTCGTCCACCGGGTTAGATTGTTCTTGTTCAAGTTACCAAGTTTTTTCACCAATGAAGTAGCCAGGTATTGAACTCACAGCTCATTCGATCAATCACTGGATCCATCCCATGATTTTATCAACTGTGCCATTTGTCCTTGAGGACACAATAAAGGTGTGAAGAGTCCTAACAATGTAAATTATGCATATAATTTTCCATCCAATTTAAAAATTCATCACACATTAAAAAGACTAGATGTAATTATAATTCCTAGTTTATTTTACTAAAGTATTTAATGTTTATAACGGTCATGAATCCAATGCAGAAACACGCCTGATGACGTCGTAATATAATCGATTTTGGAACAAAAACATAATAAAAATTAATTGACATTAAATATATCTTCTTAAAATGCAACATTGCTGCCCATTCATATTAGATAAATACAAAGATAGAAAGAGAGAAAGATAGATAGATAGATAGATAGATAGATAGATAGATAGATAGTGTTATATGTATATGTCTGTGTTTGTATGTATCGATAAAAGATGTATTGACATTTGGAGGTGTTGCCTGCAATCTGTTTTGAGGTTATATATCCAGGACGTTGGTGCACTTCTTTTAAATATTACCGTCTGCATCAATCGATTTTTCTCAGCGCATCGATGACACGGAGCTACTCGTGCGTTACTAGCGATATTTGAGTAACAAAGCAAGCAGTGGAGCACGTCAGGCAAATGGCAGCCTATTTTGGCAAAGCCGGTTTAGTAATGGCGACCGACGAGCGCTTGCCGGTAATGCTACTGAAGATATTCCAGCTGCTCAGTCTGCAGTTTTGGCGTCCGCTGGAATGTTTGGAACGTGATAAGAATTTTCCGACATCATTGCCTGCACATACCTAGTTTCTGTATGAATGAACGATGTTTTGAGGAAAAGTATGAGCTTTATCGATGGCAAAAGCCGAAGAAACAGAAGGCTGGTAGAATGGATTCCAGAAAACAATAAATATATAAAAATACGACACAACTCTGGAGAGATAAAGAATGGAAAATTTGCGAGAAATCATATTATGAAGGAAGGAGAGTAATACTGTTTTAAGGAGAGTAAGGTCGTGAGGCATGGAAGTATAGAAAAAGAAAAACAAGGGAAACAAGAAGACATATAATTGATGAAAGTATAATGGTATCTTCAAGCGGATATGTTTATGTGAGAAATATATTATAGTGTAATAAATAAGAGGGGAATTACAGAAAAACGAAGGAGAATTAAAATTACAAAAACAAATATAACAATTGATATCATAATGTCAACATTTAAATGTCAATGGGCTTAGGAAAAAATGTTCAGTTAAAGATAAGACTATTGAAACATTTATATGTAGGATAATCCTTTGGAATCTTTGAATGCAATCAGGTTAGGTTAGTGTATTTAAAGATATTTCAACGCTTCTTGAGTTAATACTTTATACAAGTCTCATGGGATCAAAATTTGTACTAGATTAAATGCAAAAGATTATTCGGGTTTGAACAAAAAGGCAGATAGAGATTGCGTTTACTCTTAAATAAAAATGGCAGGCTCGAATCCCGTTTCCAAGTCAGTAAAAATGGCAGACATTGGTTTGTTTTGTATAAAATTAATAAAGGTTGATGATGGCCAAAGTTACATCTAACGTATTTGAATATCCACCCGGAAGGTAGGCCATTTTGAATAGGTTCTACCTTTCTCCTGAGGAAGTAGATAGTTTATTATGAGGTAAGTTTTAGATTCATTAAATACAATGCATTAATAAAGTTAAAAGTAGTGTTGCAAAGATTGAATCAAAAATAATAGTAGTCATCCATTTATCCGAGATGAAGGTAACGCCCTATTATGTCTAAAATCATTCTTTTGATGTTTTAACTGAAGTGGCCTCTCTAGGCCGCTGGTCTGGGCAATGATATCGACAAACTTCAAAAGAAGTGCAGGGCATCAAATTTGAGGACGGCAAGAGTTGCCGGAATGTTGTAAGTGGTGGCAGCTAACCGATTTCGGGGTTCATCTCCAGGTCTTCTGTCTGGATTTTCATGTCCTTTTTTGTGTTTGGATGCGACCGGAAACTAGAAGAGGTTTTACAGCAGCGGATTCATTCGCCTAGAGGGATTGAATTCTTTCTAAGTTTCAACTAGCCGAAGCAGCTGATTATCAATCGCCAGTTATCCATCTTTACACATTACCCGGCTTAGAGCTGGACAAAGGCTATTTGTGACGCATATCACAGAAGCAATGAATCAACTTGGGCTATGAAAACATTTAGAACATATATAAGGTACGTATATAAGCATGATATACATCATGTGTTTCAGAATCTCCAAAACATTTAACGGATTTTAATATATAAAACGCTAAGTAAAGAAAAACGCGAGAAAGTAAGACATATTACGAAATAGTACATATATAAAAGGAAATATGGAAATATTTGTTAATATAAAAAATAGCAGAAGCAAAAATATAAATAGGGATTCATACCTAAAATATTTGGAGATTATGAAACCATTACTTAACACTACAACAAACTATTTAGACTGATTTTTGTTAGTAATATCACCTGAACTATCAACTAATAAAAAGATGAACGAAAGTAAAATATGCCAAGTTGATAAATCTAACTTTATGTAAGAAAAACAGAAAGTAAAAATAAGATAAAAGATCTCCAGGTTAGTTGTACAAAACTAAATAAATACTCATAAAGAAAACCTTACTTTGGAAAATGTTGAAAGAAATAAAAATAAATAATATATATATATATATATAACTTCTAATAAATTTAATAATCATAATATATAAGAAAATTGAAATAAAATATATAATAATTGCAAAATATATTATTATTATTATTATAAGTTTCAAACAATATTAGAATGTTTCAGTTTAAATTAAAATCTGTTAATTTTTTGGAGCTTCGTCAAAACGCAGCGCCTTTTGTTGAGTTCAGAACGCTAACATACTACTACAAAACATTAATAAACATAAACCTTGACCAAGAAAGCGAAATGAAAACGAACATTTAACACTTTTTATATATTCTTTCTGGCATTTAAACAAAATTGGTCACAAGGATTTTTCAGTTAAACACACTCTTACATGCGATACAGAAATTATCTGATTCCATTGGTAACTAGTTACAATCAATTTGCTGACCGTGAACGAATAATGCAATTTTGCCTGATTAAATACTGATGACGAAATTGATAACATATAAGGAAATATATAGGAATTGTCTAGGCGTAGTTTAAATGCGACACAAGGCCGAAAGTATGGGGTCACCATGAGAGGATCAAACTCATTACTTAATCATAATTGTTCTAGTGAGACAAACTCGCTAAACATTACGCCAAATCAATGTGACCTTATGAATTCTAAAAAAAAAAAAAAGAAGATACCAATGTGCGGAGCATCCAGCTAGAATCGAACACTCGATCTAGCAAGTTAAGCTCGCTTACCCTTAAACAACATCGAGGTTTCCCTAATGAGTTTTAAGCGTAACATGTGTGTGGCACAAGGACGACCGTGTAGAGCACTCAGTAAGTATCGACCTCATTACTCAGTCGTAATTGTTCTAGTGAAACAAGCTCGCTAACCATTACACCAATATCCGAATGATCTTTTAAGCGAATCTTAGATGGGGCACAATGTCGTATGGGTGGAGCACTCAGGAACGAAGTCACTAGTCAGTTGTTATTATACTAGCGGGAAAAGCTTGCTAATTATTACACCTCGTCGAAATACCCCGTAAGGAAATATACGGATCGATTTATTTTTCATTGAAACTAATATACAGAAAAGTTGTGTAAATGAAATATAATGGACAATGATGAAAAATAGAAGAAAATTACAAATAAGATGAGAATCTAGCATTTATGAAAACTGAGAAAGTGGAAATTGTTTTTCCTTTACGCTGAATAAAAATTAAGAACCAAAATCACTGAGTCAAATAAAGCTTTTTTTTCAGTCTTAATTCTCTAGATTAAGCCTAGAATATCATTTGTGGTATATTCAAAATAACTTTTTACCCTGACTTCATGGAAAGTTGTTCAAAAGCGATGTCAACAAGGAATAAAAATGGGATATTCCTATCTTCCTTTTCTTCTCTCTCTGTGTCATCCAACATGATGCAGAGATGACGACAACAAGCAAGCAAGAAAGCACGCACATACACAAACATAGACACACACAAAAACGCATAGACACACACAAACACACACACATATATACACGGATATCATCTTCATAATTCCTAACTTGCAATATCTTTATTTACACTATTTATTGTCTTAATCTTTGTTGTTGTTGTTACCACAATATTTCGGCCGTTGTGCCCTCCGACCTTCCCCAAGTGGATATTGATCTGGTCAATCTCAAGGGAAAATTGTAAAATCCTCCTTCATTAGCATATATACTCATGTATTTTTCTCTTTTTACCCAGTTTGTTTTTTTTTAAGAATTTCACTCCAAGCAAGGCGGGAAGCCACTAGAATGCAATGGGTTACAGAAAGTTTAGAGCAAAATCAGATAGGAGTGATAGAAGAAAGGATGAGGGTAGTGCATAGATCAAGGCAATTGGAGATGTCGATTGACATTACACTTGAATGGCTGGAGATTATAGCCCACAGGGAAACAGGAATACGGAAGGGGGTTCTACAGGCGAGAGGTGCGAGACATGAAGCTATTAGAGTAGAAGAGACGGCTACATTTAGGAGTTTTGACAGTGAAGGGGTGAGAGTGGGATGCCAGCCTCGTAAGGCGCTGGAACTCATGACGTCTGGGAACCAGCGAATGCAGCTCCTTGGAGCAATTTCCATGAAAGTATTTGTAGAACAGACAGAGGGAGGCGACGGCGCGTCTGTGAGAAAGTGACTGTAGACGAGACGCCAGGGCAGGGCCAACTATATTGCATATCCGCCTCTGGAGCCTATCAAGAACCCCGAGGCAAACAGAAGGGGCACCAGACCATATATGGCAGCAATACTCCATGCAAGGGCGAATTGTTGATTTGTAGATCTGGAGGATCGACTCCGGGGAGATAAACATCCTGGCGCGGCTCAGGGAGCCAACTTTCCTTGCAGTGGACGAGGCAATTGACTCAATGTATTTATTCCATCTCAGGTCAGCAGTCAACGTGAGACCGAGAACAAAATTATATAACAAAATTGAAAATATCAACTTGCTGTAATTTTCTTTCATTTCAAAACATCCATTTACAGGTGAGAAGTATTCTTGCCTCTGCTTTTAGTCTAACCAGAAGCCGAGCCTGCAACATTACCCATAATACTCATTCAAAACATCAGTCTACATGAAACACACACAAAAAATGTATTGTCAGAGAATCGTTGTCTTTTGCAAAGAGAATATGCTTCAATCATTTAAAGGTTAGATAATGTTGATAGAAATGTCCCCCTTTGTATAAACGCATTGACTGCAAACATTAGTAGAGTTAATAGTAGTCTGAAAAGGAAAAGAGAAACTCGGTAATGCAGACCAGCTATTGCGAAAAGAAAATACATTTTCATTTAAGCTGAACAATTGTCACTAATTGATAACTTTGGAAACATTTATCTGAGGCATGATGCTTGTCTACATTTTATTGCATTGTCCTTCAGCTGCAAATATATGTGCAAACTGGACTCTCACAGTGTTGACAGACTCCATGAAGAATTAGATGATGGTGTCTGCCCTAATATTCTTTACTTTTAGTTATTTTACTGCAAACTAGGCGATAATGCCAGTCAGACGTAATGCATTATCGGAAGAGGAAGTTAATGAAATGAATTTAGCGAAGTGAAAGGAAAATAAAATAAAAGAATCCAGGAAGACGGAAGATAACGAAGAACATAGCATTTATGTTTATAAAAACAAAACAAAGGGAAGTCATGTCACGCCTCTGAAAATATGACTAGGATCCAGATGCCAGGTCAGCACCGATAACATAATAGACCTTTCTTTTGGATTTTCTCGATAAACTAAAGATATATAACATGCTCTACCGACCAAATATGGCAGCAGAATTAAATGCACGTATTTATAAATATTTAAGATGAATTCTGATGAGAAGAATTATTTGGCAAAACCCATTAGATCAAAATTCCAAGGAGAAAACCTAGCGAGAGATTGAATAAAATTGTTCCACTTTCTGGAAATACGAAAAACATT